TTCCTCTCAATCTTTGTCCCATTTTTTCGCTCCTCTTGCTATCACAATTGCGTAAGTTAATATCGAAGAGCGATACAATTTACAAAGCAGAACACAATTCATATATTTCATTCTTTTCCTTTAATTTATTTGCAGTTTTTTTTATTTTCTTATTTAAGGGCGTCAATAGGTCGTCAATACGCAAACAGTTGCAAAAATCTGATTTCATATCGATATAATAAAATTTTAGCTTATTATACACATGTCTTCTCGTCGTATATACGTCACTATTGTATCAGCTTCACAGACCCCGTTATCATGGTCGATTCGCTTTTATGATTATAATAATGATTGCTATGATTTTTGAGAATGCTCATCATCATTATTATGATCATCATCGCAATAGTCAATGTCGTAGCAGTTAACCATTCATCGTCCGTATTATACAATAGTTATACATTATTTCTCTTGCTTGCTCCTATTCACGCACGCATTTTCCACATTTACATTCAACATATACACAGACTTATGTAACACACACATGTATGCACGCATTCACTCTCATACTCTCTCATTATCCTCGTCGCTCGTGTTGCCGCTCATAAAATCTTTGTTACGATTTACCCTCTAACATGATTATTATTTAGATAGATCTTATTGTTACTTCGTATACATTTTTAAGGCGATGATTCAATCGAGTGAACTCATTTATAAAACGAACAGCCGATATGACGTCCGCTCGCTCCGTTCTTCGTTCAAATTGTGCTGATATTTTCACGCGTTTTCGATCGTGCGATCTTCTTCCGTATCTGTTTACAATGTTTATTTTCGAAATTAATTCTTGAAATTTTTTTATTCATTTTATGTCATATCAAAACTATGTTTTAATGAATTGATTTCAAAATAAATTGCTAAACATTCCAAGTATACTATGTTAACGCGTTGTATCTATGTTAACATGATTACAAACTGAGTTTGTTATTGTATTGATATATTATTTAACGTTAATGATTATTAGACAAAAATCGTTTAGAACATTACAAAAATCAATATTACATATACTTTAGATCATTTTTCAATCAAATTTATATATGTAAATATTTTTACTATAATTTTGTTAAATGTCAATTTTTGTTGAGAAAATTAATTGCTTACATACGATCGCATACATTATTTATAACTCAATGTATCGTCGTGCATGGCCAAAGATAGATCTCAACAAAATTAAACATATATCGTTCATAACAAATATAATTTATAAAAATTGCTTTTGCCTTTGATATTGCAAAGAAGAATGTCGCTACAAAGAAGATATCGGTTGTCATCGATTAGTAGTTTTTGTGATTGTCTCGTTCTCAATCAATAATTATATTCATAGATTTATCATTAAATAGTAAATAATATTAATTTTAATTCTTAATCGAGAAGATTCCACGCGCCAAAATTATCACGTCCTAGAATCGATCCTTGCGCGTGCGAGAATTATTAAATAAAGTAATAAAAATTCATGAAAATTAATAAAAAGGAAAATATCAAGGAAATTAATAATAAAGTATTAATCTTCATCAGGTCTTGCGTAATGTAATCTCGACGACGTAAAATGTATATGTATATGTCTATCTTATGGGCAATATAATTAATTCGAGCATTATCCATAACGCCGGAATTAATTAAATTATCTGTAACGTATAAACAATTTTTACTTGTTTCTTATCGTATGGGTATGTTTTTATGCGTTACAATGATCGCGATTAATTTCCCCGACGAAAAAGTTGGCGCGACTCGCGTCGAAGGACCCGATAAATTTGTACGGCCAAGGAATCTCCTTTACACTTTTTCTTCTTAGCGAGGAAAAACGGTCGACGATCGTACGATCGATATTGGCGTATCTCACGTAGAGGAGCCATGTACGTACGTTTGCGCGACGCATGCACGCTGTAACTTACGAATTTGGAAAGTTCTTCCGACTTAATCAGGACAATAACTATACTGACTTTTCTCGCACCTGAGTCTTTCGGTATACGTGGGTTATCTTTTTTTTTTTTTTTTAGTTTAGTATACTAGAACGCCGATCACACGCGAGCAACGTGCAACACTCACGTCCCTCTTCAGCCGTAAAAAGAATCGAATGATTCGTACGATCTCGAGATCGTTCTCGCGTTTCTTACGCAGAATCTAATCTGTCGGACTTATCGGGATATATTGTGAGGAACATCAATGCGTTGCCGACGCGTCGCTCGGCTTCCGGCAGGAGCAATTGTGTTATATTAAAACTTTTATACAAGATTTGCATGTACGTGGATGTATTGAAAATATTGATAAAATTTTTGCTTATGCTCTTTCTTCCCTTCTTCTCGCTCCCTCTTCTTCTACCCGTCATTCCCTCATTTTGCTCATCGTGCTCTGTCGATCAGAGAGAATGGTACCGATGATCCATCCTTCCGAACGGACCGTCGTAACTCGATCGTCGAGAGATCAACGAGACACGCGTCCTAGCGTGACGTATGTGACGTTAACGAGGGGCGTTTTTATTATTTCGTACCCTTATTCGTCATGAATTCGATCTCACGTATAATAATCGACGTTTTAATTTGAAAAATTTTGTCTTTTAATACACATGCTTTGTTTGGCGTATCGCGTTATAAAGGTTTCTCGAAAATTCATTCTGTTTCTCCGAAAATACTCTCTCCTTGCTCCTGTTCCCTCATTCGCATGTTCGTTTCTCTCTTTTTCTTATTTTCTATCATCGTTTGCTCGTATTTACGTATATCAGGGACGCGTATGTGCGACAAGATTTGTATAGAAATATAAATTCCTCCAATATAAATTGTAACGGCAGAATGAGGGACAAAATTGATTGCATTCTACTTCTTTCTTCGTTCAATTTGAAATTAACATGTTCGAACAAAAAAACGACAATAATAAATTTTAACAAAGATGTAGGACGAATTGCGTGGAGTAACAAAAGTATTAGAATAGCGACGAAAACGAGCGCATGAAATGGGAGGAAAAAGAGTGCGAGAAAGATTGAAAGCAAAAAAAAGCAAAGAATTTTTTTCAGATTTGCAAATAACCGTAACAATATGTCGCGGATGAATGTGCGTATATATTTAAAGGAACACGCACATACGGGAAAGATATAATTAGCATCGCGATGATATAACTGGACCATCTTTATCAATAAAGAAAAGATAAGGAAAGTATCAAATTTGAAAGGGGTTTTTCCTCTTTCTCTCTCTCTCTCTCTCTCTTTCTCTCTATCGCGAATTAATTGTATTCGAGAGAGGGATCGTTCGCGAACATAATTGCAGAAGCGCGCTCATACACACAAGCATTTTGATGATCATTTACACTTGTTTTCAAATAAATAAACGATTGATTTAGCAAAATTTCTATTGATGCCATACATTAGTCGATCGATGAATATCCGATTTATACAAAAAACTAAATTATATCATTGTTTTAAATTGCCATTGGCCACTTCTTCAATTAATTAATCGAAATCTACTCTTGCAAAAATTCACGAAAACTTTTATTAGATGAAAATTCGATATAGATCGTATTTTCATGTCTCGACTTTTTTTAAAAATTTGAATAAATCGTTGCGTAAATAAATGATTTAATTAAATCATTTAATTTTATTGTGATCATGAAAGTATCATTAAGCACGCTGCTGTACGAAAATGATAAAATGTCAAAAGGAAACGGAAAGACATAATAAATACTAACATGAGTTTTTGACGCAGCAAGCTAAATAAAAATATGTACATTTCCAAACTGTAATAAAACACTGCATAAGGCTATTATTACATATGCATAATACGTAGATACGCAGATTATATCATTTTTAATATCAGTCATTTACTGTCCTTATCTTTCTTTTATTTCGTACGTACTCACCTTCTTTGACATTTTCCGATCACAGAATTTTGTCGAAAATAGATGAAGAAAATAACGACGAAAGTAAATTATTCTTCTCGACTTTCTGTCCGATTCTTTATTTTCCCACACTCTTTTTTTCGTAACAAGAAAACTACTAAGTCGGAAAAATGAAGGCAAGTAAACATGCTCGCAGAACGATTCTCCCAATCAAATTTCTCGTCTACTACTTCATCTTATTTTCACAATTGAATTAACTATTTATACAGAATATATTATAATAAAAGCTGCGATCGCGCACGTATACATTCGTTTAATTATTCTTATGGATTGTAGGAGAGTACGTTCTGTGTACAAGTATATGATGTACCTGTGTATATCCCTGTGTCTCTTCACAAAGCTAAGAAATGTATGTTGAGTGTGTGTAAATGTGTGTATGTATGTCATTTATGCTGGAGCGAGGGTTGGATTGGGTTGGGGTTTTAAAGAGTAGGATTCTCAGAGAGATATTGCTGCGTCATCGAATGTATGACAAAGAACGTTAATTTTCTCTCTCTTTCTCTCTCTCTCTCTCTCTCTCTCTCTCTCTCTCTCTCTCACTCACTCACTCTCTCACTCATTCACCCACTCACACACTCACTCTTTCATTCCCTTCCCCCCCTTTCTCTCTCTCTCTCTCTCTCTCTCTCTCTCTCTCTCACTCACTCACTCACTCACTCACTCACTCACTCACTCACTGATATCTATATCTCTGTTTATTTACCTATATCTAAAATCTCTCAATATATTCATTCATGTATTCTCTCATTCGCGCCACTTGTATCTCCCACTCTTTTCTTTCGATTTGCGCGAAAATTTTCTTGTGTCTAGTACGCATCGGTAATATACGATAATCGTCCCAGTCCAACTACAACGCTCGACTTATATTACAATTGGGGCCACACGTTCATTTTACTCTCCGTTATGTGTATATATATATACATATATATATATATATACATATATATAT